ATTTTGTAAGTGACTCACGACTCCTTTTACAACTCAAAATAACAGAACAAAGAGAAAAGAAGCTGCATGTCTTCATGCATGAACCAAATCTTGAGTTCCATAGTCTGCAACGCACCAACAAGTCAACAATTAATCATGTACTAGCCAGTGTAGTATATCTTGTAGAAGGTGGAAAATAAAATACCATTTAAATTAGTAATATCAATAACATTAATTCATTGACAAGTACCGTGATTATTACATTCAATTGTATATATGTTGGTTAAATTGTCTGCTGTGTAAATAGATAGAACTAGGGCTGTAAACGAGCTGAGTCGAGCCGAGTCGAGCATTAGTCTTATCGAGCTGGATTGATTTTTTTTTTTAGCTGCTCGAGCTCGTCGAGCTCGATTTATGAGGCTTGAGCTCGACTCGATAAAAAAATACAATAGCTCGAGTTTGGCTCGAGCCCGACTCGAAATCAAATGCGCGAGCTCGGCTCAAAAATTTTTAAGTGAAATTACCATTATTCACTTGTGTTATACTATTTAAATATATATAAGGGGTATTTTAGTAACTTAATATATATCGAGCCGCTCGACAATGCAAATTATGGGCTTGAGTTCGTGCTCGAGCTGCTCGAGCTCGACCCGAGTTCGGTCAAACTCAAACTCGAGTCGAGCTTTGATCGAGCGTTCGCGAGCGACTCGTGAACCTCTTAACTCGTTTGCAGCCCTAATTAGAACTCATATATATGATGTGATAAATAGTTCGATTAATTTGCCTATCTCTTCGCCCGAATTAAATTTTCACTAAAATAGAAAGAAAACCACAAAAAAATTCATACATCCTATATGACTTTAGATTTCAATCAATTTTGCGGTAAAACTATGTTAATTAATTAATTAATTAATTGGGAGCATGATAAAAGTTAACAAATTTTTATATTTTTTTAATGAGATGTGTTTAATTCCTTATTATCCGTCAATTTTACTAAAAGAAATTTTTTATTTTATTTTATTTTTTGACAAAGATAGTTTTTAGAGTGATTAAACTTAGCAGAAAAATGGGAAATTGCAATATTACTGTATCTCTTCGTCCAAGTCATTAATGTACCAAGAATATATATGTACTATTTTTTTTAAATATTTTAGCTTAATTTGAATGTTATGCCAATAAATCAAATAAATAATCTGCAGTACAAATAAAAATATTTCTATATTTGTATGCAGAAAAAAATATTAGTCAAAAATGACATTTTTGTACTTTAAACATTTTTGGATCATGATGTACAAAAGCATGTATACTATGTGTTAGGACCAAGCCAGGCCCCAAGTGCATGACAATTGAGCATTTTCTTGTTTTTTCAATTATTTTTTCTTTATATGTTTATTTAATTTACATGTAATTTTTTTTTTATATGTTTATTTTATTTCCTGTTATTGTTATTCTATTGGATATATCTCAGTCAAGTTTATTTTATTTTTTGTTTTATTATTTATTAATTTTTCTGTCGCTTCAACAATCATCACACCCAGTGTCTGACAAATATTGCTGTTTCTATTTACATTAAAACACAGATTGTACTCCTGCCAATACATGTTTTTCTTATTTATGCAAAAAAATAATAATAATAATAATAAATAAAAAAAAATGGAGAAATGTGAAATTTACATTAAAATTAAATTAACCGAGCATAATTGTTATTTCAGATTTTTTTTTTTTTTTTTAATTAATGAAAACTTGCCAATTTTGACATTTTGGTATATTGTAAGGTGGAGTTAACATATCTATGTGTTCAACATATATACATAGGGGTTGTTCAAATAAAAACTTGATCTGGTGTGAGAACCGTGAAAATCATATTTGATGCTATCTTTCATTGTGTATGATGCTATTTTTAATATTGCATGGTGCTATTATTTTCACAAATGCTAATCAAAATTTTATTGCTACTTTTAATAAAAACACATCCTAGTTAAAAACAACACTAAAACACAATTAATCATAGCACTACATACAATTAAAAATAGCGGTTCTCACGCTAAGACTTGGTTCTAATTTGAACCACATTTTATATACATATTTTTAAATTAAAATGTCATACTACTAAAAATAATATAAACACTAATATGAAATTTGATAACATAAAATATACAATTTTATTTAAAAAAGTACGACAGGTGCTTGGTACATACACACAAAGAATTGGAAAATGACATCCAATATGGACGGCCAATTACTATGTGATTTATTTTTATTTTTTATTTCCAAAAACTAGTTATATATCAAGGCTAGAAAAATAAATATTTAAAAATTGGAAATTTGTGGAAAAATTAAGTTTGGTCCACAGTTTTGTACAAATATATCTCGAAAAAATACAATATTTTTTTTTTTTTCAGGCGGTTAGTAAATGACTTCTTTTTTTACTTCTATTTTTATTTCCCAATATTCCAAAAGAAATGGACCACACCACCACACACACGAACAAACACACAAAAAAATATAACAAACAAAAATAAGAACTATACTGTGGGCACCTATATAGTTTAATAGTTTAAGGCTATCAGACTAGCATTCATTCATGGAATAAGTTTTTATTTCCTCTTGGTTAGTTATGTAGCTGATGATTTTATAAGACTATTTATAATATATATACATATAATACATATATATATACATATAATACACTTCAAATCAATGATTAAGTGGTAGTGTACTAGTAATAAATACTCCCCCCTATTTTTATTATTTGTCATTTTGGCTTAATAGATCATTGGTTAAATAAATGTCGACTATTTTGTTTATATTTTTCTATTTTTAACCCTTCATCAATGCAAAGTGTCTCTTCATATCCAATCTCTATAGTTTCCCATAACATCTATAAAATAGGGTCAATGTTGGCAAGAAAAAAATTCTTAATTAGCCTGTTGTTTCTCAAAACGACAAATAATAATAATAAACGACATATAATAAAAATAGAAGGGAGTAATAACTAATAATTATATGAAATTAGAGATACAAAAGAAAATGCACACACAATTTTTTGCAACACACACATGTGAAAGGTATGTGGGTTTCATGCCCCTAATGTACAACTCCATGCAAACAAGAATATGGTCTACATGCTAGCAACATCTCTCTCTCTCTCTCTCTCTCTCTCTCTCTCTCTCTCTAAATGGAATATTGCAAGATAACAGTAACAAAAATCACAAACAAGCCAGCTATTAGAAAACAACCAACCAATACATGCCCAAACAAAAACACCCTTTTCAATTAGTATAGCAAAAACTCATCAACTTGAACACACACACACACACACACACACACAAATCCTAAGCTCATATAACAATTACTCACTTAACACCATCTATCTGCCGAGGCGTTAGATCAACTCCGACAGCTCGGAGCCTACACCGGCAAGTCGAAACTTCCCCCAATTGCCGATTATGAACAAATCACGTGAAAGTAGGAATAAATTATCTTGAAAATTGAAATTAACTACAAATTAAAAGCTTTCAGTAGAGATCACCAGAACTCTAGTAGCTTCATTCTTTACAATAAATATGTCAAATTGCTGTACACATAGAGAAATTTGTTTAATGCCCAGTCACATTTAATTTAAAATCTTAGCCCCACCTAAGAAAATTTAAAAAAAAAAAAAAAAAAAAGGGTAAGAACATAAAGAGAAAGAAAAAAGATGCTTTTTTTCCTTGTTTGAGCTGCAATTTCATTTATGGGTGTAAACGAACCCACTGATATTTTCCCTCCAATGGAACGTCCCTCACTATATCATAGTTGTACCTGAAAATAACACAATACCCACATTCAACAAAATCATCACTCCTTTGCACTTTTCAGTTATGGGAATAATCAATTGGGGCTACGCTAAAATGAGCCGGGCCTGCATTTTTTTCGGGTTCAGAGTCTTACTGTGCGAATTGTGAGAACATATGCAAATATATTTTGTATGTATTGTATATGTGGAGCTTCTGGAATTTGATATGATGCTTACTTTTCGAGGAATCGTTTCTGGTCGTGCTTTTCTGCCGCCGCAAAGAACATCTCGAGCTCCGCCGGCGGCGGCGAGTACGTGTCGATGTTCCGGCGAGAGATTGATGGAGGCGAAGGATTCTTGCTTTTGGCCGTGGAGACTGATTGCAGTGACACTTGCTCCGAGTCACCGTAAAACTCGCTCGGAATCGCCGCTCTACTGGAAAAGACAAAGAGGAAACAGTGAAGCTCATGAGCAAACAGTATTTTTTTTGGCAGAAAATCAGGACAAATTACAAACAGATTGCCCAATTCTGAAACGCGAGATTGTATGCATACAGAAACTAGAACAGCTTTAATGGTGAAATTAAATTAAAAACCTGACAAATTGAACGCGAAATTACTCTGAAAAATTCCATTTTCTTCAATTGCTCACCTGAAAACGCGACCGGTGGACGTGGAAATCTCCTTCTCGACACCCTTCGACATCAAATCAACATTCTGAAGGGGAAAACAAAAGGAAGAAAAAGAAACATGAATAAAACCAAAATAATCCTCAGAAAACCAGCTGAAAATTAAGCTCTGACGACGAAAAAACGCGAAAATCCACCTTCATCGAAGGCCGAATTCCGAAATTTCTCACCTCGAGATCCAACGATTCCTTCTTCGCGGCGTCACCCGAGCGCTCCTCGTGCTCGTAGAAGCCACCGGAAGTCCTGGAAACCGCCGGCGAAGCAGAATTATCCGGCGATGGCTCCACCTCGCCGCCGACCTCAGAGTAAAGCTTCCTTTTCTTACTGGAAATCAATTCCACGTCTTCCTCCGCAGCTACCATTCGCCATGCCTTCATCGTCACGCTCATCTCTCTCTCTCTCTCTCTCTCTCTATCTCTCTCTGCTTGTAGATACATACATATGAGAGAATTTATATATATATGTGGGTGTGTGCCTTTTTTATTATTATTATTGATCCAGACGAGCCTGCAAAAAACTATAGAGTAGGGAGAGATAGGGGCAAAAATGGAAATCCATCAAAATATAGCGAATTTGATCGGACGGTGGAGATTGAGTGAGGCGGTTACCGTAACATGTGGTCCTGACCCTGTTAACGGTGACAGGGCACATGGCGATGCCGTTAGAGGATCGAAGAATGATGACGGGCCGGACAGCCAATGGGAGGTCGACACGTGGAAGGTCAAGGCGACCGGCCATAACCGGTTGGGATGACCGGAGAATCTCGGGATGACCGAGATATTGTTGAGCATAACGGAAAAATCAATACCGGAAATTCATGTGACGTGGGAGTTAGTTTTTTATTTCTTTTTTTTTTATTTTTTTGGTTACTTTATTAATTAAGTACCATATGTTATAGTTGAAATTGAAATATTGGTTTTTTGTTCCAAAGAAAATGAAACTTATATTACATCAAAAAAAATGAAATATTTGTTTTCAAAGTTTGAAACTATTGGGATTTTAGACCTAAGAATTGACAAGAAACGGAAAAATTACAATTTTAGTCCGGCTAGTTTGATCCAGTGTGGTCTTTTTAGTCTTAAGAATTGAAGATTTTTGTTATTTGGTCATATGATTTTAAAATTCAACGCAATTTCAGTTATTTGGGACTGAAAATGCAACAAAATTTAAAATTACATGACTTAAATTACTAATTAAAAAACTTTTGGATGGAACTTTGATTAGCAATTTAAGTCTTGTAATCTTAAATTTTGTAGCAATTTCAGTCATTGGAATTGAAATTGCAGAAAAACACTAAATTAGAGGATCAAAAGACAAAAAAATGAAATCTGGAAATAAAAAATACTTTTTCAACATGACTAAAGATGCAATTTCGCCCACAAAAAACTAGTAAATTAATTCATAGGAAATTTCAATTCATTTTAAGGTGAATTTCACTCTACTCGTGGACACTTCCTATTGAGAATTTTTAACCGTCCGATCAATTCACACCAAACTTATAATTAATATGGGAAAATTCTTAAGTCCTGTTGTGCATTTTAGAGGAACCAATAAACATTTGCCACATCAATTTCATTTGGTAGTCCTTTACCACATCTAAAGATCCCTAGCTATCAATTTTATAAGATCTAATGGCTGAGATTAAATTAACGGAATGGTGCTCGCACGGTACCGTAGCCAGCCTCTATAATATGATGGTTAAATTATGAATTACTTCAAGGTAAATTTTAGGAAACAAAAGGCAAAAAAACCCTAAAAAAAGATAAAATCAACTTAGTTAATTAAACATGACGGTGAAGTTAATACAGAGTAGGTGGAGGAGTTGTTTGGATAGCAATTTTTTTGCATTAAATGGCGCGAGTGTTTGGCTTAATAATTGTTCAGTCCGTTTTGATTTGCACTCAAAAGCCGTTTTCATTTTTTTTTTCCCCCTTTCGGTCTATATTTTTGTTATTTAATGATTTAAATACTATTTGATGATATTAAATTACATTGAGTGTAGTGAGCTAACAAACACACACACAAATTAAAAAAAA